CCACCACCACCACCACCACCACCACTTAAAATACACACACAGTGCTATTTGATTATTTTGGCTAAGTGACACACACAAATTTAAGCATGCTGCTATGTATTTAACATAAAGGCAGAACCAAATCTGGTGATAAAGCTAGCCTGGGGACCTTCTTTTCAACAAGCCATATTTGCAGCTTCCTCCTCCTCCTCCTCCTTTCATGACTGTGTCCTCTTCCTCAACTTTTGCTATTCACATCTATCACAATGCCATTTAGTTATCTGCACAGATGTCACAGAAGGCCTGGCAGACCTTGAACAATGGAGCTATAAGGGAAGGGAGGCAGGTTAAGGAGATCTAAAAATGAAAAATTCAAGGCTGAATTTTTGCAGTTTTATTAAATATTGTGGCCTTTTAAACTAGAGTTTGATGGGGCAAAATGACTGGGCAATTTTTAAATATTAATTATGGAAACTCATCAAACAAGCACAGTTAGCTGCTTATGGTATGTCATATATTTGTTGACCAAAAATAGTCTAAGTCAGACCTTGACTTAAATACATACATATATAAAAGTATAAGGCCTGAAGACAAATATATACAAAATAGTCATGTTTTATAGTGAAATTAATACACACATACACACACACACACAAAATATAGTATCATTACTTTTTAAATATTTAACTCCCTAAAGTTAACAGCACTATCCACACATAATAGTATAATCAGGAAGGAACTTTGGGACTGCATTTTTAAAATATTTTTATATGAAAATGATGTTTGTATACTGCCAAAACTTCAAAGCAAAATTCTTCATGCAGTCAAGTATGAAGTCTTTTCAAATGTTCATTAAGCTGAAGGGAAAAATAATATCAAAGAAACAAACTGTTTTTTTCATTATTAGGAATTTACTGTTCTCTGAAAATCCAACAATAAGCTTAGCAAAGGAATATTCTGTTACTGGTTCATACACTGGGCTATGTTGCTCACTTAACTATAATTTAATGAATAAATTAGAATGGACTGAGTTTACAGAAAACATTAAGCTGAACTCAAGCAAATCACGTTATGGCGTGCAGCAGTGAGCACACACAGTCTCATGGTTGCACAAGTTACTTACCCTGATAATGTTGCAGCAGCCTATTCATCCTAACATCCCATACTTTCACTGTGTTGTCAGTGCCAGCTGAAGCAATGGATGTACCACTAGGATGAAAGTCCACATGAGGGACAAACCTGCAATGATTAAAAATGAGGGAAAAGATATTGATCCAAACCAAACATTAAAAAAGTTGCTCAAATGTTGTTTTTAAAGTTATATTATTCTCCTGTTTCCTGTAGAGCTTTTAAAGAGTGTTGGATGACTATTAAATATTTCTTAAATTCTTCTGATAAGGCAAAGCAACCAGGGATTTATCTCACTAAAAATATATACATGACAGTACACTTCTTACCCCTTTAGAAGCAGAGAATCTACAGAAAGGATCATAATATTTTGGTTCCTCATTTTCAGATTTGAAGAACTTCTGTTGGTTGCTCTGATCTCCTTGAAGGGAGGCATGAACAATGCTCATCCCAGGGAGATACTGCCCTCCAGCAGCAGAGTAAAGCTACACCATCACAATGGGTACGCAGCCTCTATACTTCATAAGGCCTAATGCAAGGGATGGCTAAACCAAGGCCCAGCAATTAGTTATTACATGTTTAGCCTTGCTTTTCATTTATAACTGCAAGAATCTCATGGTTACGTGATTCTCTCACCCACCCTATTTATTTTCATTAGAATCCTAAACAAGAATTAAGTAGAAAGTCAGGTGTTTGTTCAAGGTCACCCCAATAGCTTTAATGTTGAGTCTTATATAACCACAATGGGGTCTGGCAACTAGAAGTAGCTCCCATTCTATGGGAACATTAGGACAAACTGAATCCTTGAATCAACGGTACGCATAAAGTCATAAACTTTCATGGAGGACAGAAGCAAAGGTCATCCTAAATTATGGGTATGACTAGGTTTGACAGAATCTTGGGTAATTATACTTTAAAGAGTTTTTTTTTAATGTAAAACAGGGTTATAAATATTTTAAATAATCAAGGAAGCATTTTTATAAGGATGATGATTGCACAATAGTACAGTATTTGCATAACATTTCAGGCCTGAACTACATGAGTTCTAGATGCAGCCCTATGAGAACAACTTGGAATAAAGGGTTCTTCTGTCATCAGCTGTCAGTGAAATTCTCTCCTCAGCAAATGCTAACTCCAATTATAAGGGGCTCTGTTCAGGGTTCTATAAATCATAGTTAATTATTCCATACTCTTTGTGGAGCTTTTCCAGTCACTCTTCTTATTTCAGCCCTCTGGGCTCTTGGACTAATCTCATGCACATCTTCTAGGCTACCCTTGCTATCCTTATTCCTGAGGGCCTTTTACGCCACTCCATGGTTTGACAGAGCTAGGCAGAACCGGGGTTTTCATCAGGTGTGGGTGGAAGGAAAAGCCCAGCAGTTCCACTGATTGTGAAATTGTTAGAATTTAACATAAGTAATGCTTGTGGACCACTGCTTTGATTGTTAGGATACTAACGTACATAAATTTCATTACAAAAATGGACGCTTTTAAGAGATTTTAATTAATTAATTAATTAATTAATTGGTGTGCTGCCTGACTCCCAACAACTTAAATATCCTTAAGGCCAAATATAAATGACACAGAACTATTATTTATTTTAACGAGATATTTCTTTATATACTTTAAAAAATATAAGACAAGCCCCAACGAACTATAATTGATACTTGCCCACCATGTTCACAAAAAGAATGTATACATTCTCGGCTTGCTTTATCCCAAAGTTTGACTGTTTTGTCATCACTGGATGATACAATTAATCTTCCATCAGGAGAAAATCTACAACAAAGACATTTGTTGAAGCACACTTAGTAATAGCCAATATAAATGAGATCTGAGTTATTCTCAGAGGAAACTTACTAAACTGGTGCAAATGTTATCTGGTTAAGGGGCTATGTGAACCATTCAGAGCAATGTTTCACAAGTTAACAAAAACACCCATCCAAACACTGCTTAAAACAATGAGGTGTTGGGGCCTCTCAAAAGTTCACTGTGGCCACTTTGAGGGCACCACAACAAAGCCCTCTGAATGGTTTGCACAGCCCTAATAGTTAATAAGACAGTTGCTTTAAATCAGAAGGTTATGAGAACCATTTTTTTTCTGTTCTCTTTCTGGCAAGCTATTATTTTATCAGTGATATAGCCAGGACAATGGACTGCTGCATTTTTGGACAGCTCTTAATAAATCAGCAACTAATAAATATACACAAAGACATTCTCAATCAGGTTTTTTATATTTCTGTAAACATGCTTTTTCATTTTTCGATTTCTCCTTTCCTGTATGATCTAAAATTCTAAGCATTAAATGTATAAGAAAACAAATTAACAGTGAAGTTCTAATCATACCTATTTATAAATAAAACCTATTAAGCTCAATAGCACTTAGTTTCAGAAGGTCTTCAGAAAAAGCATATTACATTACACACAATTGAATAAATGCTATTGCTTCTAAAAATAGAAATTTTCTTCTTTTTCTTTTTTCTAACTTGAAAGAGAACGAGTGAAACCTCTCTCCTCTCCCATTCAGTCTATATAAAACAGCTGATTTTATTCCACAATATTCTCATTTAATCTAGGCCAGTCTGGCCTTGAAGTAGTAATGATCCCTTTCCAATAAGGCAAAAGTGTATAGAAAGGAGATCAGGAAATATGAAATATAGGTAGTTCCTAAAGTATATAGGTAACTGTGTTGAGAAATAAATTGATAGGGACATTACAGATCTTCACAGATAGTGTTTATGAAAGCCCTAGTCAAAACCTTTTTCTGTGTATGCAAATAGCATTGCACAGAGACAATGAGATTGTGTGAAATAGGCCTATCCTGCTCTCACATCTTTTCTGTATGCATATTAAAGGAGGATCTGCAACATTAGTTACATGAGAGTTTGTTGCCAAATGATCACAAAATCATTTTAAAAAAAAAGACTTACTTAGCACAGCGAACCCAGTTTATGTGCTGATTCAGAGAGAATAAGAATTTTTGTCTGTGAACAGCCCACACTTTGACTGTTTTGTCATCAGAGGCTGTAACCAATGACTGGCCATCATTAGAAAAGTGAACACTTCTGACTGTTGCCGTATGAGCCTTGAATGCAGTTGATTCTCCCTTGCTTAGTTTAGGGAAACAAACACACAAAAAATTATGACATTGAATTCTAAATCATTCAGTATTTGTACACATTTGTTTACTGATTTTAATATACACATTTACATTAACAGAAAATTGTTGAACTTAGACTTATACAGCAAACCAAATATGGTACAGGAAGAAATTGTTCTACTTCAGTTTAGAGGCTGGAACAGCTCCCAACTACAAATAAGTGCTGTAATCTGTTGCGCAAAATAATAAAGTAATGTTTGAAGTAGTAAAACAGTGACTACTAACACTGTTTATATTAATGACACAACAAGGAAAAGTAGAACATCATGTTAAGTGTTTTCATATAAAAAGAAAAAGAACATATAAACAACAGGGGCAAATGGAGAACTTGAGAAGCTTTACAATCAAATGAGAAAATCACACTTAATCAGGAACATATATCATTTCATCTCTATTGTGTATAATCTAGCTAAATTTTATTAAACTAGGAAATAATTCCAAACACAGGTACTGAGTTACCAGGTCAGTGTAAACCACAGTGGATTTTCATATAATAAGTAATGTATTTATCTTCTCACCAAAGAGTTACAAACAGGAAATCACACACAAAAATGCCCAGTTCAGCATATTCTTGAAAAAGTGATTGCCATATAATACACCTTTTAAAAAAATTCATTCTATGAGATCTTCCGAGGAGATAAATGAATATCTCTTTTTCTATTTAAGTAAAAATTAGATATAACAACATTTTTCTTCTGTTATCACTAACTTGTATTATCCTGATCTTCGCTCATTTCTATTTCATAATTTAGAACTTTTATATACTGCTTCCCATTAAAAATCTCAAAGTGGTCTACACTAAAATTCAAAATGAGTAAACATGAAGTTAAAACAGTTATATAAAATGTGTTAATGAAAATGTATAAAATATATATTAAAGCAAACGTATATGAATATAAAAACATATAAACATACATTAAAATAACTGAGGCCCATCCTTTCTGCTATGAAAACAAGATACTTTAACCTTTTTCTCCTCTTACATACAACTGTTTTAACTGATTTTTGAAGAAAAATAATGTCCAAGTCACTCTTCACAGCAATCAGAGAAAATTATTTCTATGTCCAAAGGTAAAACATCAATAAAGTTACTGATTTAAAAACAAAGAACGAATTTGGGGAATCTAGAAAGAAAGTAAACTAAGCAATATAATTTAACTTATACTTACACACTTGGAACCCACAAGCGAACTGTTTTGTCTCTAGAACCTGAAGCAATCAGGTGGCCAGATGGTGAAAAATTAACACACATTACTGCATCTTTGTGACCCACAAAGCGATAGGCTCTCATCTGAGGTTTCATACTCCAGATCATCAAACAAGAATCCATAGAGCCACTTACTAAATGAAATAAAAAATTATGTTCATTATATTTTTAAACGACTGGAAATAAATCACTCATTTTACAAAGTCAGTGGAAAAAATAATTGGTAATTACATCAAGCTACCAGTTCAGCAGATTTCCCTAGTATACTTCTGGAGGCTCTTCTTAAAAGTAGCCAAAGAACAAATTGAAGAATTAAAAGCAACTATGTCATTCCAAGCGAAACTACTTTTACAAGTAGGAAGCATCTCCCAATTTATCCTTTACTGAAACCAGCATAATCTGTACATAGTATCCTTTTAGTTCTCTGGAACATATGACTTTTTACCTCAGATTAAAATTTCTGAAAGCTGCTCTCTTCCCTTCAAGTTAAATGAAATAAATGTTTTAACATTATATTTTTAATCATCTGGAGCCAATGTTCATGGTGTTTGTTTTAGGAAAGAGAAATCTGAACAAAATGATGTTCAAGAGTAGCTTACCTAGCTGTTTCTTATTTAGACTGAAATCCACGCTAGTTACTGCATCCCGGTGGCCTTTGAAATTCCTCTCCAAAGTTGGGTCTTCCTATATAAGAAATGTCATATTGAACGAAATGTTATCTTACAACAATGCAAACATATTCTTAAACTTGAATATTCAAATATCTTGTGATAGGAAATACGCAGGGGGAAAAAACAAATACTCGGAAGTACTAAACTGCTTCCTATCCTTCATTTAATACTATTAGTTCACTGAGTTTTGAACTGTATCTGGCTCTGGTGAAAATTCAACCAACTACTTCAGATTCAAGTTTAGAAAATAACCATTTTGATTCTGCCCCATAGCTTATATTTTACATGAGATACTTGACATTCTATATAATACTTCTTTAGGAAAAGACAGAGATGCTACAATTTTGAAAATACATAGACAGGGCCCGAAATATATGGTGCAAAGCATTGTGGCCTTTCCATGGCTAGGAAAAACCTACCATGTTTTAAATATTTGTTTACTGTGATTAATTAACCCAAATTCCAGAATTTAGCCTTTCTTCCCCAGAATCTGTATCCATTTTCTTTTAATTGTACTGTTTATACACATATGGGACAGCAGATATTTGCAGAGGAATGCTGTTAAAATCATTGTTTTAATGTAAAAGAGAAAAATGAAATGATAAGTATGTTAGCTTTGAAGTTCATTTGGATTCTCCAATCACACTAGTCTGGTCAACAATGTCTGAGCTCAGATTTCCCACTTCAGCTCAAACCACATTATGCATACAATAACTGGGATTGTACGCTACAGTAAGCCAAAACCAAAGAAACCACCTTTTGGCTTAGAACAATTAACATATTCAGCCTAGGATGTTTCTGTTGGTCATATGAAGCTGGACTTGACATTTATTATGTCAAGGTTTTGAGCTGATTTTATCTCATACTTAATAGCAATAAGTACCTATAAAATATAGGTACATGAAATC